CAGTACATCACAGATGACGTGGAGACCCGAGAGAGCAGAGTTCTCCCAATGTCAAGTCAAGTAGATGAGCAAAGCTCGTATAATCACAGTGCCCGGTTTTTGTGTGCCTTTTGTGAAAAAATAAGACAACTGATACCCTCAGAAGCAATGAAAACAAAATTCAGGGGGTTCGATTTTTTTTTTTTATACAAGCCCTTTTCAGTAAAAAAGCATCCAATAAACGGCATTTCTTTTTTTTCCTTACCGGCCAGTATTTCACAGCCCCTCCTCGCCCATCTCCTCGCACTGCACCCCCAATTTCTGCGCCCCACAACAATCAGGCCCTACAGAGATACTTCTAAGTAAATACCATCTGTTCAGATATTACAGTTCCTCTGAAAACAAAATGAAATAAAATGCGAGGATAACACTTCCCCGTTGTGCTTTTTCACCGCTATAAGGAATCCATGTTAACAGTTATTGAAGAGAAAGAAAATGTCTTGGAAACGGGAAAAAAAAACTCATCTTTGTGCTTATCTCAAATGAGAATAAAGCGTTAAAATGATTAGTGAAAGATATTTAAGTTTTGCAGCTTTGCCAACAAACAAACGTTGCAAGATAAGAAATCAATACCTTCACAGAGCCGAAACGATATCAAGACATTACTCTGAAGACTTCATCAGCCTTTCCTGTGCCTGATATCTGTAGGGCTACAGCTATTAGACAGACACCCTTTGACACAGAGGTGCAGGTTTTAGTATTGTCATCCGTTGATTCTCCACGTTCAGACTGATTTCTGCTTGGAGAGAAATATGTAGTCACAAACGATTTAATCATCAGTCCCCAAAATATTTTAATCACACAGCTTTCACCAGCTCTCATTGTGCTTTTCCAGTGTAGAAAGATTTCCTGCAGTATTAATCTGCTACAATGTCCAGCACAAAGGATACAGTAGGTTACCAAGCCCATGGTTCCTGATCCTGTAGATTTCAGTTTTCTATTTGGGATATATTTTTAAATTTGCTTTCAGCTCATAAAAGGTCAAATGGGACTTCTAATTAGTATGCATTTCTCAGTTTCAGAACTGCCTTCCATTCAGCTGTGTTGCCTGAAATGTAACCAACTGGAAACAGAATAAAAACTTGCTCATTGTGAGCATGCCTAATGCATTGTCACCCCCTTTTGTGGGCGTACCCTGTGAATTGCCACTCCCACTGTAGGCATATCCTGTGGAAATGTCCCTCCCACTGTGGGCGTGCCTGAAACACTGGCCTTCCCACCTGTGTCTGTTTCTTATCAACATATGTTCTGTTATGTTTAGGCAGAAGTAGCAGCAAGCAAGTTGAGAAGAAGCTGCATAAAGTTCTGTGTGTTGAGGCTTTTAGAAACAGTATCCTTGAAGTAAGGGTATACTTGACACTCAGGACTGACCAAAGAAACAAGTTAAATAAAAGTCTATACAAGCAAGCAGATCAATTAAGTCATCAATTAGCATCGGAGATGTAGAACTCTGCTGGAATGAAAACGAGCACCCAGTGTTCCTCTGGGAGCAGAGATGGGAACCACTGCCCCAAGCAAAAAAGAAGCCAGCCCTCACAGCACATCTTCTTTTATCACTCTTTCTGAAAGTTGGAAATCTTAAATAAAACTGGGACATACTTCACAGCCGCCTGGGCGCAAGACGGTTCAGATTTTTAATAACTTGTATCAGCCGAGCCAAAGAAACAATATCGCGGCCATATGCCTCACAGGGCTGAGCTAACTGAGAATCCACACGCTAGCAACAAGATCATACACATGTGCCCCGGCTACAGCTAAAGCTCTAAATCACCACGGAGGGGGTTTCATTGCATCTTGAGAAACAGATTTTTTTTAAAAATTTTCACCAGTACAAAGATTAAGTTTTGTTCAGAAAACACGTACACTTATTTTAATTTTAAAACATGTACTCCTCCTGCTTGACGCGACGATGCCATTCCCTGTCTTTGGACTTAAATTCAGGTGTGCACACACAGAAAAGAGAGAGAGTTCCAATCTTCAGAGCCAAACGAGAGAAAAAAAGAAGGATTCGGTTCTCGAACTACAGTATCACCAGCCTGCTGGAGAGCCAGACAAGGTGTGAACGGTGACATCAATAACCACCGGGGCAATCTGCACCTGACCGATGATTCGGAGCCCTTAATGCGCGCCTGCAGATCCTCGGGGTTTTAAAAGCGTACCAGTCGTGGCACCGTTGTAACTGATAATCTGCTAATCGCGGGATTGTTGACATGAAAACCTGCATCGCCAGCCCCTCCCCTGCACAATTCACTACGGGCCTTGAAAAATAAATAAATCAAGAGCACAGTGAAACAGAGATTTTCAAAGCCTGTCAACCCTCACCCAGGGGAAATTTCAGGAGCTTTATCAATTACCCATTAAAAGTACCACAGGATTTCCTTTTGTACTTGCCTAAACAATTCTACCTGGACGTCAGATGAATACTGAACACAGACGGGCTGGGGGAAGAAACTCGTGGAGGATGGGAAGCCGTACTAGCGATTTGTGGATAAGTGTTAAATTAAGTGTAATTATGAGGTGTGCAAAGGGGAGCCGGAGGAGGCTGGAATGCTGCAGCAGTGTTACAAGGATGTTACAAGGAGTCACTAATGTGTGAAAATGAGAAATTGACTGTCAGTCCTTTCCATGCGGATTTATCCTTATCTTGAACCTACTGGATAAACACACAGAATTAAGGCCGGGGCGATTAAAAAAAAAAAGGAATGTCCATGAATTAAAAACATAAACTTCATATGAACGGGCAACACGAGCCATAGTATGTTGGATTCATTTCCCATTCTTTAGTTTCTGATCACTCCTGCTGAGATCTTGAGAAGGGAACCATGCAGATGGTTTTAAAACGGAAGCCTATCTGTTACATACTGCACTGTATGTGTACACAAGCCAACACCAAGAGACAAAGCCTTTCCACTGCTCTTTTTCACCGGCAATGTAGAGAACTTAGTGATCATGAAATGCTGGACCGTGAGATTATCGTGTGTCTAAAGTGCTATCCTGCGGAGATCAGACCATCAGGTTTGCGTGATGGTATGGAACAGAGGGCCAAGCAATGACCTGCAAACAGGCCAGCACTAACCCTTAGTATGCTGCAATATTAGATTAGCATGGGACAAGCAGTATTGTATGCAAACTGTCTTTTCTGTGCAAGTGATCTGTAATAATATTAATGTTGTTTTGTGCGTCTCCCCTTTTGTCTGCTCGAAGAGCTATACTCTGCAAGTGCACAAAATAATTGACTCCCATGCAACTTATTAAGAGTGTTACCACTTCATGCATGCAGTATAGATTATCACAGGCATCAATTAGATGCTGTTTTTAAAAAAGACAGTAAAAAGACATCCTCGATGGCCAAATACCTATGTTAATTAATTATACAAATGGCATGTTACTGAATTATTCCGTGTATGCTAAATTACAGCCATTAATCTATATCAGTGAAAGATATAAAACATACAGTTTATTTTCATCTTCCACACAATGACAGATTGTCAGATTAAGACAAACAGATCATGAACCACACTTATTCTGCCAAGTTTAAACGGTTTTACCTTGTGATCTATGATGCTGCTGTATCCCTGCAAGGGTGAAAGCTGGTCTCTTGGTGGCTTGGTCACCAACTTCGTGGGTTGGTGCTCCCGGCTCTCCGAGTCATTTTGGAGTTTCTGCGTGTTGCTGTAGCTGCTGTTGTACACGAGCAACAAGCTGGTACACATGGTAATAGCTAAAAACACAGCTATCCCATGGCGCTGAGCAAAGACAAGAGAGCAAAACAGCGCATCACTGCCCGTAACTTGCAAACAAGGAGCGCTTAAGGACATTGCTGCTACAGGATTTGTCAGAAAGGCAGATTCAAAGCGAGTTCTTTTTGCATTTCTTTAACCTTTAAATATCGTTGAGTCTTTTACACCAGCAGTGCTATTACACGTACTGACAGCTGACGGTGCCTCAGAAAAACTTAGAAACGGGAAGTACAGTACAACGCTTTCATCTGCATCATTAGAAAAAGGTATTAATTTCGGAGATAAAATGTTGTATCAGTGCTTTCACAAACACATCCTTGCCTAGATAAAAGCACGAGGTTCTGGCACTCTTCAGTATTGATTTTATTGTACGAATGTGACAGAGTTACATCTCTCGTATCTCTCGTATAAATACAGTATCGTGCACAAAAGACTAAATCAAAGACCAATTCTGGTGGACTACAGACAGAAAATAGTACAGCAATTTAAGGATCTGTAATCAGTTGATTGATCGAGCGATCATATTAGAATTTTAAATGAGAGATGTATTAACAGTACAAGGTAAACAGTGTTTTCGGATATTCTGCTGTATTTTTTACAGGTATGGTATTAATTGCTCCGTAAGAATGAAGGGTTTCTTTATTTTACAGGCGACCAGGGTAAATTATTTCTCCCAAATAATTCTGTTGTAAAATAAGACAATGTCTGCCAACACATCTAAAAAATCGACCACCTTCTTGCAGGTACATACAGTACATCTCGAATGCTACAGCTGCAGTACTATGTATCATTTCCCAGTAAAGGTAACTTCACTTTTGCTGTTCAAAGAAAATATTTTTTACAAAACTAAATATCTGAGTTGAAAAAATAAAAAAAAACTTAACTTTTTTTTCATTGCTGTTGTCATATGCTTTAAGCGCCGCCGAACGATGTATGAAAAACAAAATTAAAAAAACAACAACAACAACAACAACAACAAATCAAAATTAGAGACAGCTGCGTCCACCGTATTTTATCATCTCCGTTAATCCGGTGCGTGTGCGGTAATATTGATGACAACTGACGCAAAAGCCTGACCAGTCACTAATTTCTAACAGAACTAATAAAATCCTTGAATCGATTAAACATTTTAAGAGTGGGGTGGGGAGGAGGGGGGAAAGAGTTAGAGGAACTGTTACCATTGGTGTCTTCATTTTGCGCTTCTCTCCTCTAATCCCTCTGGTGTGCACATCTGGGTCCTTTCTGCTTCATGCTACTAGATTACAGCGAGAGCGAAAATCCCCGTCGCATCCCCATTCCGGCTAAAACTGAGTTGAGGCGCTGGACTGCACTGCACGGCGCTGCTGTGGTGGAGATTAGACCCGGCGCACGCAGAGCGAGGAATTAGGACTGGAGCCGCTTTTCACGAGCGATGTGCAAACCGAGTTTCAGACAGCCCCTGTCACTGCCCGTCTTCTGGGTCTTAAAACGCGTCGGGTTGCACATCGGCATGGCCGCACCGGAGCTGGACGGTTCGAAGACTGTCGCGCCTGAAACTGATTAATTGAGCTGCGACAACGTCGCGGGGCTTTTAAACAAACTTTTTTTTTTGTTGTGTGTGTGTGTGCGTCTTTCAATCATCGTTTTAACTTCGCAGCACCCACAACGGTTTGGTCGGTGTCAATTCTTATTGACGGGGACGCAGTCGAACGCATGATCCCGAAATACAGAGAAACGTTATTTGAGTGTGTGCAATTCAAACGCCGCAGAATAGCAACTGCACACTTCTCAGCAGACTGTGAGTAACGGACCTTTAAGCCCGTCTGATGTCGTTTATTCAGTTTCTAAAAGGAAAAAGCGGGGGCTCTTTTCTTGAACATGCATGAAAAATGTAATATGTAATGTGTTATTTGTGATACCGTATATATTATTCTTATTGTTACAATAACTAGGGGTGGAGGCCACTTTGACTTTAAGTGGTCCTCGCAGTTTCCGAGTCCTGGGTTCGACTCCGGACTGGGGTGCCTTCTGTAAGGAGTCTGCATGTTCCCCCAGGGTTTTCGGCTTTCTACTGCCTGTTCCAGTTTCCAGCTAGCTTCCAAAGACACGCTATATTTATGCATTTTTGCGCCCTGCTGTGGACTCGGGTCCACCCTTTCGTGTCGCTTTGTGCCCTTGCTTCCCTTGCCATCCGCCCCCCATATATCTATGAATATTCTCCGAACTATTACCAACATTTCAGACAATCTTATACACGGCTGGCTTGTGTTACAGTAGGATTTATTACTTTTATTGTACAGAGTCTGTTTATATTTACCGGACGTTTTCATTTCCAGAAGACATATTTTAAGAGCTGTGGTTTTTTTTTTTCCCAGACGTAAAACATTTTAATTCATGCAAATCTGCTGTTGAAACGATTTGAGTGGCTAAGACCTGGATTTTGACAAACGAGACAGACGCTGTTATCAAAGGAAATGCAGAGTCCAATAGCAGACAAGAACCGCAAAGCCGTCCAAAACCTCGCGCATACTGTGGCCTACATGAAAACGCATGCATAACAAAACCAAATGTGATTAATTTTACATGAACGCATGTGCTATACTAAAAATAAATGAAAGCGGTTCATATGTCCTATATATGAAACTACCAGTTCTACAATCCTTTTGGTTCCTCACATATTTATGATGAAAAACCTCTCCGACACGGCTTTGCATTATGTAAAAGCACTTCTTTCACAGTCTTTACAAAAATGTTTTCTTAATCAACACCTTCTCAGTAAACACCACAGAGCCGTTCAGAGTGACTCGCATTGAATCCCCTTCTGCGAGAGTGATGTGCCTCCTCCATGAGACTATGCGAGCCCCTGGGGTGAGGATCTTGTTCAAGGCACATTCACCTGTCATCTTGTTAATAGCACTCTTATTAGTCCTGCACTGGCAACAGACAAGTGCATCCAACTCAGGTGAAATGTTTCACAATCATTTAATGCTGGAGGTAATTCAAATGGGCAAAGTGTTGTCACCTGTACTCAGCAGGGGATAGGGCTGGTGCAGTCAGCAGGGGGAAAGCACAGAGACTGATGCTATTGAGTCGCCATTGTCTATATAGAGAAGACTATACTTCACTACTGGCTTTCTACAAATCCCTTTAAGTGCAACCTTACCACAACGTGCCATTGATACAGTAGGTTGCTCATTCACTAGTAACACTCAGAAATGCCTGCACAGCAATGGAATGTGAAGGGTTTGTTGTGTGAGTCCTTAGCCAGCAGCAGGGTTAGTTGTAATTGTGATGACTGGCACACCACCCCATTCACGCTCGTGCTGAAGAAATAGTTTGCAGCACAAAACACATGTGACTGTGGTTAGGCAAAGGGCAGTAGCAGTCTCCCCTTGTTCCCAAACTGTTCAATCATGTTTTACCAGTGGTCTTTAGATTTTCAGAATAAACAGTTGCTCTCTCAAACTAGGAAATCTATTTTGCGTCTGTGCCTGAGTCTTTGTATTTATAATCCCGTGTATACAACAGCCATAAAATAGAAAGTCTTTCCATGTGTTATAAACCCAGCAGTAAATCACCCCCTGTCAGTTTGCTGTTCGTTCCTGCAGAACAGTTGACTGCATTTTTGGTCTGTTCCAGACTCCAACTTAATGGGGTCTTTCAATTAAGTCTGCGTTCTGATTGATTTTGCAGGAGATGGGCCTGTTGTTAAAAGGATTTAGTTTTGTTATTTGATGTGATGTGGAGTTCCTTTACGGAAACTATTTGTCTGTTCCTTTGCAAATGTCTGTTGAGAGTGAGCACTATTAGTAAACCTGTTGTACTAAGAAGGGTTCTCAAAGCACCTTTACTTGAACACTGTTATTTGCTACTAAAGGACTTTGTTCATCAATTACTTTCAGAAACGGATCGAAGTAACTGTGTATACGTATTATCTTAAAGGTCATATTTGTCTGTATCCCAGATTCCAAATAACAAAAGTTGAAGATACATTACAGTGGTATAACACTGGACATGGGTAAAATCTGAAAAGAAGAAAATGAGAGGGGCACTTCACAAATCATGATGAAGCCCACAGGTATGGCAGAGCGATACAGGTGTTATAAATAAGAAGCTGATTTTAACAAATATACAAAAAAAAGTCTGGAACAACCCTTATCCTATTACATATTACACACTTATAATCCTTCTCTGGAGTGCAATATTTATACTGTCCTGGTTCAACACCTCAGAAGGGAATAATTCATATTTAAAACCTCTCACAAAACCGCTGCAAGTATCAAAACAAATGGATGATAGTGTGCCAGAAGTAATATACACCGATATACACATTAGGACACAGAATCAGAGTTGGAAGATCTTATGCAGCAATATCAATTTTGCTCAGTAGAGTTGTCTGGGGAATATCATCACTTCAGCAAGGTTAATTTAAAGACAAGAGTTTTCATTGTATCCTCTTTGTCATAACAATTCCATAATCTGACTACTGTTAGACATGCAGTGACTTTAGAGAGGAACATTCATGCAACTGTGCAAAGCATGGATTAAACTTTCATCAGGAATCGGTAGTCCTTAGCCATGTCTTTAAACATCTCTGTGAGCAGGTGTGGCAGTCATGACTTAAGATATGGAAATAAAAAATGACCAACAATATGATAACCCGACTAAATTGTCTGTCATTGATTTATTTTACTTTGCCTCGAAGTGCAGCCTTTCATGCATATTTCATAAGGACCAGCTTTTATGAAACATCAATCACAATTATCTAATGTGAGGTTTGCAAGGAATGGCTGTTCCTTCTGGACCGTCACTCAATGAGAAATAAGCCAATTAATATAAGTGCAGGGGTTCATTGCTCGTAACGCTTGATGACAAGATTGTAACACTGGTATCTTAAAAAACAGAAACCGCTACCGAGTAGTTACTGTACATGAGTCTGTGTTGGCTTGCACAGAACTAGGTTTTGGACAGAAGGTGCAAGTTCATAAACAGGCACTGCTAGGGACTGTAGCAGATCACTGATTGATTCAGCTGTTAGAGTTGTTTATTCCAGGTACTGTATATACGAATTTGCTCTTAATAGCTTATAGGCTGAGCTCTTGGCTGTGCTTTGGGTGTCTTAGAATAAGGTATCCAAGGGTTGTATGGAGTTCTAAAACACGGGCAAGGCGTGCTTTTCCACTCAACGTAGAACGGAGTCATGTCTCTTTTCATAAAACACCAGGAAAGCTAAATGCCCCCACAACTGCATCTCTGCAGCACCTCCCCAGACATAAGTAACACCATGACAAAAGGAATCAGATCAGAACATGACAGAAGGCAGGACTCTATACTGTACATTCTTTCCCTTTCTGGGGAGAATTAAGGATTAGTGCCAACGATTTCACAAGTTGCAAGGAATAATGTCAATTTTTAGCTCATGCTAAACTGAATAAATTCGGACCTATGACTGTGGTCTGGAGCTTTCTCCTACATAGATCAGAGACCCAGGCTTTGTAATAGACACGGGTAATAGTGTCCGTGATTGTTGATGTTTGGTTTCAATGAAAGATTTGATTTGGCCTCTCTTTTGTCGATTTGGGATCAATTGAGCACAGTATATGCGCAAAAAAGGTGCTGAGCTGTCACCACTGGGCAGTGAAGCTCTCCCTTCACGGACAGTGCAGACTCAGCACTGACAGCAACACCCTGACCCTCTCCGTGGGGTGGCCGGTTGAAACGGGGGTCTGTCTCAGTCTTTCTAAAGATCCGTCACAGACACAGCTCTCTAGAAAGGGAAAGACAGCAGTGAGAAAGCCTGATGAGGCATAATGTGCCCTAGGTACAGAATTATGCCTGTGGCTTGGTAATAACAAGCAAAAGTATAACATTCAATACACATTAAATTTTAGGAAATCAATTTTTCAAGGGCAGCATGCCAATTATTTGCAGTAAATCTATAAACTCCATGTAGGAACCGAAACAAAATGTAGTTGAATATACAGTATACAGTATATATTAACCAATCAATTGTGCAGCCTGTGCTCTTCAATGAAAGCATTTCCATCGTGTGCTAAATCACAGCAGGGCTCTGGTTTACTTAACAAATTCTACCTGGTGCATTCAGAGGATCAGTACAGAAATCTGTTTATGTGAGTGATAGCGTAATTAGGTTCTACAACAGGGAATACTGCACAGAACATTTATTTGTCATCGACCTCATTAACATGGCTAATGTTAGATTGTCCTAGTCCCTTGACCTTCCCTATTACAGTTCTAGTGTTAAGCATTTCTGTGTTCTTCACAGAATGTTTTTGTTGCCATAGCTGCAGCAGAGTGGATGGAAATTCATCAGTTGTGAAGTATGTGACCTGTCGGTGGCAGTTTCCTACAGCATGGAGAAGCAGTCTGGCGGCTGGTGCCACACTAGACAACTCCTCACAGGACAGCCCTGCAGCAGTGCTGCACAAAGCTGCATGCTTTGCAAGAGATCTTCATTTGCCAGCATCCCACTGGGAAGAATGACAATGTTAAGACTACAGTGACGCTTGTGAGTTGTAAGGA